ATGGGTAATCGGATAATTGGTGACAACCACTATGACCACGATGGCCGAGAGCCGCCAAACAGTCCTCCGCAAAGTTAGCTTCGCGAAAGCAATGAGTCACTGTAACTTCCCAATCTCGGACAAGAAGTTCCCGGATGGCCCGAACCAAAGTACCATGCACTCCAAGCTCCGAGGAGTCCCCATTTGCCAAGCCCACCACACTTTTATTAACCACTTCGGCAATAACTTTCCGGCGCCCAAGTCCCATACGAGAAGCAAACCTTGGAAAAGGCCCCATAGTTCTGCCCCGGTAATCGAGCAGTACCCTATGTTCATTGCAAAGCCACCTAGCCAGTGACCCCCAGAGTCTCGGACTAGGCCACCGGCTGAAGCCATCCCGGAAGTAGTAAGAAATGAGCCATCCGTGTTAATTTTAACGTTGACGTCGACGGGAGCTTCCCAACGTATGAGGTACACACCACGCTCCACTCCTAGGTTTTCAAGTTTTTTTGGGCAAGAGGTTGCTGAACGAACGCCGAGGGCAACAGACCTTGCGTCCCGGACCTTCTGTGCGACAACAAAATCCTTATCAAAAAAGATTTTTTCGTTCCTACCTCGCCAAATATGCCAAGCAGTAATCCCAAAAAGTGTCTCCCACCCAGACACGTCAATACCTAAGTCGTTTTGTAAGTTTTGAACCAACCAATCCCGCAGGTTTAGACGAAAAAACTCAGCTCGATGACTGGCAGGGACCAAGCTACACCATATCTGCCGGGCTCCAGTACAATCACGTAGGCAATGCAAGATCGACTCATCGAAGCGGCCACATAAAGTGCAAGTTGACGAGTCGAACAAATGACGCCTCCTCCTTTCATCATTAGTGAGCAGCTTGGCGTGCGCGGTAAGCCAGAGGAATTGTCGAACTCTTTGCGGGCCAACCCACTTCCAAATTATTCTCCACTGGGTCCGATCAACCATAGGCTCCAGAGAGACATTAACCAATGCATCATATGTCGATTTCGTCGTGAAGCTACCATTTTTCGAGAGCCCCCAGTACATTTTGTCCGGACCCGCGTTGTGCGACGGTGGGAAGACTGCCATGATGCGCAAGGCAATGCCTGTCGGGACTAAGTGACCAAAGAGGTCCCATCTCCATTGGCCCACGTCATCGACAAAAGCATTAACCGTCCCTTCGAGTTGCTCAAGCGGGATAGATCCAATGGCCATGTGCAAGAGTGGCTGCGGGCTATGCGTCCAATTATCCCTCCAAAACGGAGCAGTGGTTCCATCGCCAATAGACCATCGCACTCCACGCCGCACAGCCGGCCAGACCTTTTTAATGGCCTGAAGAAAGGCGGACCCTCATGGAAACACAAAGTCATCAGTCATGAAGGCCAGTTTTAGCTTGTATTTAGCGAGGAAAAGTCGAACCCAAAGAGCGTGTGGGTTGGTTAAAAGGGACCAACCCAATTTCATAAGAAGGGCAGAATTCACATCACGTTGCCTTTAATGCCCAGCCCTCCGTACTCTTTAGGTTGACATAGCTTCTCCCACGAGACGAGGTGAATTTTTCGGCTAGAGGAAGTGCCACCCCACAAGAAGTTGCGACATCGCTTTTCCAGTCCCGCACACGTCCCATTGGGCAACCATGCAGTTTGCATGGTGTAGAACGGCAAAGAGCTAATCACCAACCATGCAGTATGCATGGTGTAGAACGGCGAAGAGCTAATCACCGACTGCGTGAGAACAAGGCGGCCAGCGAGGGACAGAGCGTTAGCTTTCCAACTAGCAAGCCTAGCGTCCGCCGTCTCAAGGATGTTACTGTAAGTATGATTAGTGACACGTCCATGCAAAACAGGTACTCCAAGATATTTCCCGAGGTTGATGACAATCGAAAACCCCATAGTCCGGGCTAGCGCATGCTGGACAGAGAGAGGTGTGTTCTTCGAGAAGAAGACGTTCGTCTTGGCACGACTTACCTTCAGTCCACACATGGAGCATAAATCTGATAACATGGAGTCGACCAACTGTGCCTGATCCCCACTAGCTTTTAAAAACAAAAGCAGGTCATCCGCGAACATGAGGAGAGGCACGCGTACATCGCTAGTTCCCACCCTAATTGGCCGCCGAACGCCGGCTTCCACATGACATTGAATGAGATGGGCCAGACGTTCGATGCATAGAACGAACAAATACGGAGAGATCGGATCCACTTGCCGCACTCCACGATTAGGAAATAATTCTTATGAACAAGGTTTTCCTTCTATTTTTTCAATCAAACAAGGTTTATCATTTTTATTAACTCCCCTCGTACAAAATTCTTATGAACAAGGTAAAATTATTCTACGTCTCCTCCACTAGTAGCCTTAAGCTTTGCCGTATTGTTTAGGTGTGCCCAGCTTTGCCATTTCCTTATTTTTTCTTCTTTTTTTTTTTCGAAGGAACAAACTTGCATTAAATTACTGGAAATGGTCCAACACCAAATGAGATAAGAAGTTTGGAGGATCACTCCATACAGAAATAGCGGAAGTGGAATGCGTTGCATATCTAGCTAGTCAATGAGCAACAACATTATCCGAACGTGGAATCCAAAATAATTTAATAGAAGGCAAATAAGATAAACAAGCGACCTATAATTGGCGAACAACTGGAAGGGGCATCAGTAAACAATCAAGGAAGAATCTCCAATGATAGCTGCATTCAGAATATTCATACTCTGAGCCAAGAGAATCGCTTCCCGCAACGCCAAAGCCTCAGCTAAATCAGAGTAAAAAATTCCAGCAAAACGGCGTGACGAAACTTGTAAAAAAGCTCCACTGGCAGAACGAACAAAGACACCTGAACCACTGCAAGCACGATTAGTGGAGATGGAGCCATCAAAATAAATCTTCGTTTTTTTTATTGTTAATATCTGTTATTTATTTTATTTTTTTTATTATTTCCACTTACTTGTGTAGCTGTGAAAGGATTGTGTTGAGTTTTTTTTTTTTTTTTTTCAATAGGAATGTGTTAGTTTGTGTAACTAATGCTTTTTCAAAATAATGTGAAAACCATCCAATAACCAAATTTTGTCCAACTTAATTAATAGAGAATTATCTATACATATGCTGTTCACTGTTCAACATTTTTATTCTATATACATATAATATTTTTATTTCTATAACTTACATTTTTACAAAGTATACTCATAAAACTCATATCTTTTTGCCATGCTTGATATATTTTCTTGATTTATAAAAAAATGTTACATTTTATTTTAATAAATGAGTGTAAGAATGTGTTACTAATTAATTAATAAATCTTAAATTAAATTATACATATTTTGTGCTACATAAAAAAAAAATACCAAAAGTGTTACCTATGAAGTATTACTTTTTAAAAAATGTTACATATATACTACATATTCATAAAATGCTGCAAAATTGTTACATAAATATTGCAGTGTATAAAATTG